CACACACACACACACACACACACACACACACACACACACACACACACTCATATTAAAAGAAAGCAAAATAGAAAAGAAATCACTGCAATTGAATACTTCTTTTAAATAAAAAGGTAAAGACTGCCAGAAGATAGAGGATTACATCTCACCAGAGTGCAAGCACCCTGGAGAGCGGTGCATGCGTGTGACGCGTGTGTGTGCATGCCTCCTGCATGACATTAAATGGGTCAACCCCGTTATGAATAATATAGAAGCCCGATTACATGCACAATGCCAGGTTGCATGGTGATGACAAGCCAATTTAAAAAAAAAGGGCCAAATGTGATACTGCCATTTCTGAAGTGGCTGTTTCTCCTGTGACTCAATACACATTGCATGGATAGCGTACAGGTATCCATGTACATGTACACGTACACACACACACACACTTATTGGTACGTTACAAAAGGTCCATCCTCCACACTGGCCCCTCGTGCACTTCAGTCATATCTATTAAGAAGTGTCTGATAAACCTTTGAAGAAAAGCATATTTTGTACACAAATAAATGAAACCCCCTGTATGGGTGAACCTTTGAGCTACCATGAGGCTGCTTGTGTACAGGTAGTCTGTCCTCTTACGAGCCTGCAAGAGAGAGGAAGTGTAGACATTTGAAATCAGCCGGTGTGTTGCCCCAAGGGTCGTACTGTTACCCAAAAAACCTCGACCACACATCATCCCCACGGGCTCTTTTCCCACTCAGGGTGTGACTCAGCAGCAAGATTTGCCGACGGCAAATGATCCAATGATCGGTGTTGTTGGCTCTCTCTCAAGTTGACAGAAGGATTTACATTATTACCCAATTCACAAAAGACTCCAAACCACAGACAAACCTCCGTTTTCCTTTCATCACTACAGCTGAAAGAGGCCTGAGCAACACAACGTTCTATGAAAAATTTAAGCAAAACAAGAAACCGTGGTTTTCAAAAAAAATATTCAAGACTACCGTTGTCGACCACATTCAGCTGCAATATTTCATTTCTAATCAATTAACAAATACAACTACTACAGTCTTCACTTGAATACAAGACATAAGAGTGAAGTGCAACCACAGAAATGCAAATATAAAGTCTATCACATAGATCCGACATGAACCATCTAACACGTAATACGTTCGTCTGGGCTAGCAGGCTTCCTGTTTAAAGGATCCCACAATTTCTGTTCTTACATGCTGCCAACAAGCAACCTCAAATAGTTATGTCGCAACAATCCACACACACAGGAATTTACATGTGCATGCACACACACGACTTGACAAAGCCGTGGCACAGCATCGGCCAGAGAAACTTAGCCTCCCTTCAGACTCAGCTTTTAATACAGAGTGACAGAGGCTTGGTTAGCTGCTATGTACATGAGAGAGCTTCCATTACGAGGTAAACAAGACCTAGTTTACATTCGGCTGTAAAAAACCAACACTAGGGATGTATGATGATGAGGTGGCCTGATATGGACAGCATCAGAGGTGTGTATAACTTACCAGTAGGAAATGTGTGTGTCGGGGATGTCAGATGAGCCTCCGTCTCGTTCTCTCTCTTCAGTTTAAGTCCAGAGTCGTCTTGTTGCCGACTTTCATCATGACTGGATTAATACTGTACCTGAGGACAGGAACACACAACAGGAGGGTTAGATGGCTGGATTAAGCTGCGATAATCGATCAAAATAATATCAATCAGCAACTATTTTGGTCATTGGTTAATCATTTTAATAATTATTTTATGCAAAATTGCCAAATATAAATATAAGTCTTTCCCTTCTTTTTTATATTTCTGTCTATTATATTTGCCTTTTTAGACTAACAGCCACTAAATGAATCCACACTGCAATGTATACGTTGTACATCATGAGCCAGAGTCAGATCTTATGAGATATTTGCAGGATGGGTCGCTGCTTTGCAGTACAAACAAAAGGAAAAGCTTTTAAATGTGCTCCCAGTAGCAGATGGTGGAACGACTCACCAGCCAATGAGAATCTCTTTCATGTCAGTTATTATCCTCTGAACCACACCAGGATCCACAGTAGTGACCATTTCTTTTATCAGACAATACAACCACCACAAAGAAAGTTACACTTCTTCTCAGAAGTATTGCCACTAACAGTACCACCGGTATAAGATAAAGGCTGCTAGTTACATTAGTCTGGATTTTATGTCTTAAAATGCTGCAAGAATCACTGTATGTATCATACACAGCAAATGTTCAGTGATTTGCCACATCTGCTTGTCCATATTCAGGGCCACAGCAGGGAGCCCAATGTCTATCCCAGAATGCACAGGGCCAACGGTATCTCAAACTAAATGCTTTGGCCTTTTATACAAGGGAAGTGCTTCATGTTTACAGACAGACGCGTTCTCTTTCTTCCTCTTGCAAATACACGAGTTCAAGGACACCACAGACACACACACACACAAGCTTACACAGACACACACACACACACACACGCAGGCACAAATTCAATATTTTGCTTTCTCCCACACACACAGTATCCACACACACGCATGCACATCAGAAAATGTGAGCGAGTTGTTCTGACAGCAGAGCTGTCAGCTACTGGACTGTGTGTTGTTTTGACAAGCAGGTGGAGCAGCATCCACAACGTGACCAACAAGATGAGCACACAATAAAACCAACTGTTGTCCACAAGCAGCCCGACCATCAGGAAGCACAGCAGACCCATCACTCAGTCCTCAAACGACCCCTTTACTTCCTGTGTGGAATCAAACTTCTTTTCTTCCTCTCCTCCACCTCTCCCATTTTATCAATTTCTCACCCTCCCCTCTCGTCTTATTGGTTTCACCTCCTCCTCTCTCTCTCTCTCTCTTAGATTATGTCGAGCAGCAGATTGGGTTCTCAGAGGAACCGCATTCAATAATAAAAAGGAGAGAGGATGGAGGGATGAGAGGAGGATAGAAATGTATTGTGCCCCTTCTGAGTGTCCCTGAATGATTTATAACACAAACTGACACTTGCATGAGCCTCTGGGGAAGTTGTTGCTGCACTATTCTTCTTCTTCTTCCTCCTCCTCCTCCTCCTCGCTCCCTCCAGCCCGCTTGGCATATGTGACCAACCAGCAAGAGAGCGGTGTAGATGGATGGATAGAGGGGAAGAGTGAGGAAAAGGGTGAGATGGTGTTTGTGTGTCTTTGACTCAGGTCCATCGTAAAGAGACTTTTATTTGTCTCCTGTTTCAAACATACCATCTGAACATGAACTACTTTCAGGGCGGCAACTAACTATTATTTTTCATTCTCAATTAATCTGCCAGTTATTTTCTTGATTATTCGATTTATTGTCCGTCAAACAGAGAATAAAGGTCCATCACAAGTTTACAGAGCTCAAGGTGACCAAACGTCTGAAAACAAAACATATCCAGTTTAAGATACATTCCTAAATTATATAACACATTGCTTGAAAAAAAAGCAATTCATTATCAAAAGAAAACTTTTTTAATAAAAACAAAATAGTTTCTTGGTGAATGGTCCTAATAGAAAAGTCTCTTTCATTTTATAGAAGTGTAAAGATCATCTAAGATATTATTGCTAAACTTTTATAGCTTAATGACTAAGACTTATGATGTTGTATTTAAGTGAGGCTCGGTATAGTAAGAGCACATCACAGCATCTCCGGTAGGTCCACAGGCTTTCTGACAAAGTTCGTTGGTGCTTCGGCTAATGAAATAAAAGTGTATAAAATCTCAATATCCAACACCTCCTTTCCATTCCTCCTGTTACATGACACACGCGCTGCGTTATGAATCATAAATCGTGACTCACGAGCCGTCAATTTCCGAGGCACAACTCGGCCAAGCAACCTGTTTCGAAAGCAAAACCTAGTATTGCGTTTCTGTTCTTGGGCAAAACGATCGACCAGAACAGCTTTCGGAGGGATCGGCCCAACAAGTCATCAAGCTGGATGTGATGGCGGGTCTCAAACAGGGACCTGGGCCAAGTTAAGGCCTCATTGTGGTCCACTTTTTCCACATACAGACTTCCAAGAGTTCATGAAATGCCGAGCAACCAACAGGCTGCTGCAGGTATCCATGATGACATCACTACCTCAAGGGAATTATTCCCCTTCACCAGCAGCCATTTAAAGTACAAAGTACCATTGAGCAAGCAGCAGAAAAACTGCTCATTATCAGTCAGTAGATGTTGAACTAATTAGCTCTTAGATGTGAATGTATGTTGTGAATCTGAATTAATGTGCACTTAAAGCGCCACAAACAAATGTACAACTGGTTATAATACTTTGTCTGTCTTTATAATTGCTTCAAGCCCTGATTTGCCAGAATTTGATCAATGATAATGAGACTCAATGGTCCCAAATGTAACACTCAATGATCCCCAGAGTGCCGATGACTGAGGTGGGCTTTTGATGATGTCACGCTGGAGGTAGAGATGGGCTTGAAATCACACATCCCTTTAGTGAGATGCTGCTTTAAATAAAGCTGAGACAACCAAATATGAGGCCATTTCCACAACACGCATAAATTCTCACCGGATGAAAATAAACTAATCCACCGAGATAGAAGGAAACTAAACATTATGTCCTGATTATCCTGCCAGGGCGGAATGGTGTGGATTTTTATAGCAGTGACTCATTCTCACAGAGCGAAACACACACACACACACACACACACACACACACACACACACACAC